CCGTTCAATTTTGATTTATTTAAGTGGATTAAAATTTACTTAAGTAAATTTTATAAACTAATAAAAGAACACTTTTCTTCCTATTAAAATGCTTTACTCTTCATTTCCTAATATTCATTAATAACTTTTCCTTCTCTATTCATACATGCAACCTAAACACTTCCTTAATTCTTCACCCTCTGTCCCGAACCATTCCATCAATCTTTCCATGGTCATTCTCCACTCTGCCAGGTTCAAACCCTCGCTAGATATACAAGACCTCACCGCACTCTTCCTCCACAGCCATTGCTTCTTAACCCTTCTACCCCTTGTTTTCACCTATAAAGAAATATCCTCCTCCACCAACCACTTTGACCACAAGTGCAAATTTGGCAATGACGAGTTTGATTCTATTTGTGCTGCCCATCTTTATGATGGGACTCTCACATGCTGAAGCACCTCCATTCCATCATTGCATTGCCACAATGTTGATTTGCTTAAGCAAATTGAAACTGGATGATCACTTTCCACCATAATATGAGAGGAGATCTGAATTCATTATTTAGAAAAATCACTTAACTTAATAAGCCTATTTAAAAATTAACACATGAAACAATAAATTTTTTCAAACAAATAGTATGATAAATTTATTAATATTTTAACAAAATTTAATTTGTAGTTTGAAAATAGGACATGTTAGAATCAATTTATAATTCAACCATATTTAATGGAAGTTTTGTAATATCAATACTAAAACATCTATTACATAATCAAAATAATACCTAACTACTTTAAAATTTAAAGTCCAAAATATAACAAAAGTAAAATTAAATAAAATCACTTAACAATAGAAGAATACTAATAGATATTTTATTTGGATGAGCTAATGTTTCCTGTAGCTTGTAAATAATAAAGGATGAGTCACACGACTCAACAAAGGCATGATAGCATAATGAAAAAGAAAAAACAATAAATAATGCACGAGAGTGGTTCATAGTTATTGAGTTTATTATAACATGTTTTTTCAACATAATATCACTTTAATTGTCTTTCAAAAGTTTAATCACAAATCAAAACTTCAGAAGTATATAACGTTAGATAAAATATTTTTTAATTATAATTATTATAATGAAGTATTCAAATACAATAAATAAATAAATAATATTTTTATAAAATATCATAATATATATATATATATATATATATAATACTATAAAAGTCATTAATACGAAAACAAAAGTCCAAAACAGCTTTATGTAATTGATAGTCCTTTCTTTTTAAAGACTCTCTCTTTAAGAGAGAGTTTCATCTAATAAGTAGCTTCTTGTATATATATCATTGTCATTCTTAATAAGAATAATTTAACTTTATTGATAATTTTTTTTGTGCACTGACAATTTTATCTAATGAGTAACATTTCAAAGACTATTACTTTTTATAATTTACACTCAAATATACTAAATTTAAATTATTTAATTAAATAAAAGTTTGAATAGATTAATAAAAGAAACTCACTTAATTCCATATTAAAACTAAAAATTCAAAACGCTATATGTTTTTTACATATTAATCAAATCCGTCCTATCAAGTGAGTCTATTTCATCATGTCTACACATAATTCACTTCCCTTTAGGGGAAAAATTTAGTTTGAGACTCATCTCTCTTCCAATTATATATGAAAAATATGCTCTTAATCCTTAATATTTCTTAGTTCATTTACTTTTCTAATCGAACAACGGGTAAAGAAAATAAGCTCTTCAAAGATTAAAAAATTGACCACCGATTGAATTTGGACTTTGGAGTAGCTTGGAAAAGTGTTGAGTGTCCAAATAATGGGGGGTCTCGGAAAAGAGTGACCAAATTTCGAATTTGCAGTGGCTTCAAAAAGAGCAAGTGTCCAAATTTAGAGACAAGACTTCAATTGGGAACTGATCACATGAAAATTGTTGTTGATTCGTTGGTCTTTGGTCACTGGGGTTTCATGCCGAGACAGGTTTTCGACTAGTCTACATTCATGCTGAGATAGGTGTTGGACCAGTCTCGATGCAAAGACGAGTACGAACGTGACCATACCTATGCTGTGTGGCTGCTGCAATTACATTTGATTGACGTTATTTTTCTTTTCATTTCGTTTTATGAATAAATAATTCTTAATAATTTTTAAAGTGTCTTATAAATTGCAGTGCTGCGATATAAATACCACAGTCAAACTCAATCATTTGACTGAGTGACGCTGCTGCTTTCAAAAACACAAACTTTATTTTTATATATTTAATTTTAGTTCATTCACAATGAAATATTTCTGCTCTATTTTCGCTGTGATGTGCATGAACTTAATTATTACTCCATCTCTGTTTTTTTAAGTGTCAGTAAAATTATTTTACTTACTTCAAAAAATTACTTAATTTCAAATTTATATAAAAATTATTATTTAATTTCTAATTCGTTTTCTAATTAATTAATTTTTATATTTTAAGTTATTAACTTTCAATATTAAAAGTAAAATATATATTATGAATTAATGTACAAAAAAGTTATAAAGAGATTTGTGACTTTATAAATAATTAATTATCTATCTTGTGATAAATATATACAAAAAATAAGAGTATAACAAAATAATGTAATTATAGTTAATAAAACTATGCCAGACCAACTCATCTGATCGGTGAATCAATCTAGTATTCGGTTCAATGGAACCAGTAAATTAGGTGTTCTAAAAATCAATTCAAATTTGGTCAAAATTGACGATTGACCTGTTTGACCCAATTGTCCCTTTGTAGCCAAATAATCTCGTTTTCTTCAATCTGCAAATTTGGATCTTGCGTTGGTACTCTCAGCCAAGCTCCCCGTCGTTCGTGAATGGGGGCTAAAAGATTTAAATAATATTAGTTTATAAAAAAATTATCAAAATAAAATACAAAAAAAAAGGTATTCTTTGTATGGGGTAAATTTTTATCACGTAAACATCTGTTTCGTATTTAAATCAGAAAAAATTAATTTTTGATTTTTTTTAATGATTTCGCCCTAAATTTGGACGAAATGGATAGAATTTGAATTTCTCTTTCCCGCTTCGCGACACGTGGGCTAATCACGTAGTTTCGTCGCTGAGTCAGACAAAAAGATGATTTTGTCTGAATCAGAGACGAAATTACGTGATTGGCCTACGTGTCGATAGAGCGATAGTCCCTATACCTCCCTCTTCCCTTCTCCCCTCCGATGGTTTAGTTACCCACTTCCTCCATTTTTTCCGTTCAGCAAGTTGGGTGGGTGTTTTTTTATTATTTGAGCGTGATTCGTGAATGAGATTGGTAATCCATTGCATTATTGTGTCCAGATCTGCTTTGTTTGCAGCGATTAAATGTGTTTTTTGAGTGAAAGGTTAAAGAGGTTGAGACTACATAGTTTACCATTTTCGGAGAAGAAAGATAGCCAGAGGCCGCCAGAGAAACGTCGTCCCCGTCCGGATAACTTGGTGGTGTCACTGGGAACCCTCTGTTGTTGGAAATCGCCACTTCCGACACCGGAAATCACCACATTGCAGGCAAAAATCTATCAGGTTTTTCTAGTTTTAATATAATTTATTTTTACATTTTTTTATACTTTTTATTAGTATGGTACTGTAATAGAAAAATTTATTGTGACCAAAATTTTATAGTAAAAATAATATTAAAAATAAAAATTTTATAACTAAATTTTTTTAATTTTTAGTCTGAAAAAAAAATTTAAAGAAATATTTAGATAAAAAATGTAATTGAAATAATTTTGTTAATTTTATAAAAATTAAATAATAACCATAATTTTGTGAAATTAAATATTTGTAGTAATATTTAGTATAAAAATTAAACTTGCATGTAGAATTAAGGCAATAATTTAATGTATAAATTTAAAAACAACTAAAAATTAATTTAAAAAAATTAAATACAATAATAAATAGTTGAATAAAATTTAGAATAGAAAAATAGAAAATAATTGTAAATGATAATTAGAAAATAGTATATAAAACTTATAACATAAATTCTGATTTTGATTTATATTACTATAAAATTATAGTAGACAATAATTTATATTAAAATTATAGTACTAAATATTTGAGAATATAAATAATTGCAACCCTAAAATATAATTAATATTGGTTAATAATGATTCTCAAATAAATTTAGTTATGTAATTTAAATTATTAGAGTTATATTAAATAGTTTTGAAAAAAAGTTTTATTTATATAATTTAAATTATAATAAAATAAGTTACTAATAATATAAGATTAAATTATTATTACAGTGTTACTTATGAAATAAGATTAAATTATTTTAAATAAAGAATCTAATTTGTAGTGAAATAAAACAATTAGTTATCCAAAATAAATATTTAGAAGGCTATAAAATAGTTAAGATAAATTATTTATAATTATCTAAATAAATTTAAGAAGAAAAAAAATTGAATGTTGAATATAAATTTTCAGAGTGATTGTAATTAGTTGAAGTTAATTATTGATAATTATATAGTTTAATAAACAATGACCAATAAAAAATAAAAAACAAAGAACTTGTTAATTACTGTTGTTATTATATGATGAATTTTAATGATTAAAGTTTTTAATTAATATAGTAATTTATTTTGATGTACTTAGTTAAAAAAGTTGTTAAATTTAGGAGAAAATATTCATAAAATATATATTCATATTTCTGGACAAATTACCAATTTATTTAGTCAAAATTTGAAATGAACCATTATATTTGATTTTATTTGTATTCCACTAAAAAAATATTATAAATAGATTTTGTATTTTAATAATGTGATCAATTAGGAACATGTTGTGGTATTATACGTAATGATTGTTATGAAATTTTTTTGTATAATTTATATTCAAATTTAAAATGTAGACCATATTAATTTTTAAAGATAATTGATATTTTGTGTATTTGAGTTGATAACATATTATTTGTAAGTTTTAAATAAAAATGAGTGAAAATAACCTAAACAATGAAACTAACACACACATATATAAATAAATATTTTTGTAGATGGCGTCATCTTCAGGACAGAATACAGTCATTCATCTTGGACCAGAGGATCCTTCATTATTGCTGTTACAAAATATTCACGTGTCTAAACATATATGGGATGGTCGAGATCATCCTATTTTGAAGGTTAGGAAGAGACAATTTATTTCAGCTGGTTTGGATGATGTTCCAGAGGAGATCCTTCCACATTTAGAGCTTGCAGGATTTACTAGTATTACTCACGTGTGTCAGTTCCCATTAGACTTCCTGTTAATCACTGCATTAGTAGAGAGATGGAGGTTAGAGACACACACTTTTCACTTACCTCCAGGCGAGTGTACAATCACTTTGCAGGATATATCAGTATTGTTAGGTTTACGCATTAATGGAAGACCTGTGATAGCACCTATTGGAAGTAATTATGCTGATATTGTTGAGGAGAGCCTAGGGATTAGACCATCACGTGCAGATTTTGTTGGTAGCTTCTTGAAGACGAGTTGGTTAGACCAACATTTTACCCATGTGACGATGCATGCACATAATCCTTTACAGATCACCCGATTTGCTAGGGCTTATATGTTGCGGTTGATTGGAGGTTTTATGTTGAGTGATCACTCCAGCAGTAAAGTCTCTGTGAGGTACTTACCTTTACTAGAGAATTTTACTGTCACTGATGAATATAGTTGGGGGTCTGCAGTTTTGAGATTTTTGTATAGGGAGCTGTATATGGTCACCAACATTGATCGGCATGGTTTAGGTGGAATGGCTGCATTACTTGTCATGTAGGGTGATGGTCTTGAGAGAGCCTACTACTTAATGACTGATGTTCATGATTCTTTCACCTTTGACGAGATGCGAGACTTGTGTCAATCTATGCTAGTTTTGAAGAATTATTTGAACCGCATTATGGAACCTATTTCTTCATCTGAGGCTCCGATACAAAGTGGCAATACTGAGGACCCAGTAATAGATGTCGGTCTTCCTAGGGTTAGTAAGGAAGGTCACAGATTACAGCGTCGACGCACAGAGATACAAGCGACAGACTGGTCTCTTCCCCCATACCTGAGCGTCCTGATGGAGTTTTCTACGTTCCCTCGCAATTTCCTTTCCACACACAACCTGTTACTGCAGCTACATATTTCCACTCATCCCAGGCCATCGAGCATCCACTGACCCCTCCATCACCATTCATCAGTACAGAGTGTTATATCCCATGCCCATCACCATTCATTACTCCACCTCTATATGATGCAGGTATCCTAACACCACTAGCACCAGCTGTTGTGATTGATACTGGGACCTCATATGATACCTCATACAGTCATGGAATATATTTGAATGCTGACTTTGAAGCAATCTTAGATGTTCATCCTCTAGAGGTGCGTCGTAACCCACATCGTGAAGCCAGAGATAGGCCTAGGGAGTGCATCTTGACCCCACATCACAGTTTTGCTGTGATCCCATATTGTGTAGCTTTATGTGATGTTTCAAAGCTTGCATTAGTCGTGAAAATGCTTCCTCTTGATTTTTTTTTGCATTTTTACCATCAGTTTAGAACAAAACCTCTTACCACCATTAAGGTCGTTCATTGCGTCCTTTCCACGCTTCACAAAATATTCAACCATTCGTCCGTATGTACATTTGACCAGAGTAGTTATAGGTAAGTTTCTTGCCCCCTTCAAGACCTTGTTCACAGCCTCAGACAAATTCGTGGTCATATGTCCATAACGGCGTCCATCGTTGTCATGACTCAAAGCCCACTTTTCCTTCGATATGTTATCAATCTATCTCTATATTTCTGGTGATTCAATGCAAAATCTTCTCAACTTCTCCTCAAATACATTTTCGCCGTACCGTTGTGATCGCCTAGTTGCGACAGATGGCGACTCCACTTGGGATTTTTTTAAGAGAGTCAAGCCTTTGATAATTAATTATACAAATTTGTTTAATTTTATTTCTATTTGCTTAATCCCTTTCTCTTTTCTTATTTATTTGTTTTAATTGAATTATGTTCCTTCTATTCCCCGTATTTATTTCATGTATGAATTTTGTAATCTTTTTGTATATACTCTTTTGATATTTTTGTTAACCTTAGGATAAATGACTCTTAATATTTTTTTGGTATTCTCGTGTTATTTAATTTTGCAGCTTCTATTTTTTGGGTTGATAAGGTTTGTATGCTCCTTCACACACCCCACTTACACATTCATCACACACTTTGAGCGGGGCCCTATACCCAGGTCTGAGTATGCTTAGAATTAGAAGGGTTATGTAGCGGTGTCATTTTGAACAAACATCCTATTTGGCTATTGTGAAAACCCTAGTTAGAGTTTAATCTTTTCTTGATGTCTCACATCTAGTAGACAACCTACTGTTGTAGTCAACATTAAGGATTGGATCTTGACTCTAGTGGCCTTATAGGATTACAAGCTACCTTGGACGAGTCTTTACACATAAAAGAACACCCTAGACCTTTAGGTTAGACCCTTAGGTGATCCAAAATAAGGCACATAGGGAGCATCTTTTCTTATCTCCTCTTTTAGAAATCATGTAAATTATTTGCGCCTCAAACTTTCAAAAAATAAAAAAGGAGAGGAAATTTTGCTAAATTTTAAAGGCTAGTGATTCACATGATTCTTTATATTAATCTTCTTTATATTATTATCATTTTGCATGTTATGGCATATCATAAATCCAAAGATCATGTTAGGGCTAGGAAAGAGTGATGTAATGACTTAAGATATGGGTAGATTATGTAAGGGTAGGAAAAGAATGGTGTATTTTGAATCAAACTATGATGTACTTCATGTTTGATTAAGAATTGTATTTTGGTGTGTTTCATTTAATGAAGATCCTACATTAATTTCCATTAAAGACTCGAAGACACTCAACAACTATGATGATTCTTTAAATTTTCATTTTTTCTCTTTTAATATTATTTTTCATTTTATTAATTTCTTTCTTGACTGCATGACATAGAAAAAATTAAACACAAATATAACGGGGAAACATTTTCTAAAGCATCCTTATAGAACTCGCGCTCAATCAAAGATCATGGATGAGTTGAAAGAATATAATAAGGAGCTGAGGAATGACGTTAACCAACTAAAGGAATAGATGACACAAATTTTAGAGGCACTGAAGTCTCTAGAAAGGAGAGCCACAGAAGGGACCCTTCCTGCCCAACAACTTACTCTTATCTGCCCACTTGGTTTTACTCCTACACAAGGACCATCTCCAGGCTTTCCCACTCAGGAAACAATGGTGCCTTTGACTCTACACATAGAAAGACCCTTACAACAATCTGGTAATCATCAAGAGGGCTAGTTTCCTCCATATGGTTTTCCCCCAAATTATACTCCGCCAATAGCTGAGAACCCACTAAACACAAGCCAACCGTCAAATCAAACCAATCCTGCACAACCTTCAAAACCACAAATCCAACCAACTGAAACATCCATCCCACCATATTCTTATCCTCAAAATGCTAATCCTCATGAAACCCACATACTGCACACGATACCTGTGACAAACCCGTTGATTCATCAACAGCCACAAATCACTAACCTTAGTATTGGGGGAAATCCACCAACATCACCATTCCATCTTGAGGAAAATCCCCAATCTCAAGAAAAGCTACAGATATTGGAAGAGAGGTTGAGAGCCATTGAAGGAAGCAATTATGGTATAGGAGAAGCTGCAGATTTGTGCCTAGTCTCGGACGTCACTATCCCTCCAAAGTTCGAGACGCCTGAATTCGATAAGTATAAAGGAACCACTTGTCCAAAAAGTCACTTAATAATGTATTGTAGAAAGATGGCATCACATGCTCATGAAGACAATTTATTGATCCACTTTCTCCAAGACAATTTAGTTGGGGCAGCCCTGAGTTGATATATGCATTTGGAGCGTGGTCGTATTAGTTGTTGGAAGGATTTAGCCGATGCTTTCCTGAAACAGTATAAGTACAATATTGATATGGCTCCTGATAGGCCGCAATTGCAGAACATGACTAAAAAGAAAAATGAGTCATTCAAAGAGTATGCGCAAAGGTGGCGAGAGTTGACAGTTCAAGTAGAACCTCCCCTATTATAAAAAGAAATGGTGGCTATGTTCATTGATACTCTCCAATCACCCTTCTATGATAGGATGATTGGAAGCATATCATCGAACTTTTCAGACATTGTGATTATAGAGGAGATGGTAGAAAGTGGTATGATGACAGGAAAGATTCCCAACAATTTCATTGGAGTGGCTAACACAAAGAAACCCCAATTTGGAATGGACAAAAAGAAAGAAAGAGAGACTAATGTTGTAACTTTTCACCCAAGAAAAATTCCTTTCATTAGACCTTACCAGACACCACCCAATTTTCAACCTGTATTCCTTACCCCTCAAATACCTTACCCATATGTCATTGTTATTTCAAACCACCCCAACTCCCAATCCTATCAATCACGACCCTACCAACCCTCAGCACCTACTTTTCCTACTGCAACACCTATGAGACCACCTCAACATTGGCACCAAATCCAAACACCAGCTAAAAAAGACCCCAAAATAATCAAGAGAGAAAGTAGGTTCAGTTTGACCTAATCCCTATGTCTTACACAGAGTTATTACCTCGCCTATTCCAAAGCTTACTAGTTGTACCATGTCCAACAAAACCTATAGAGCCACCTTATCCGAGAGGGTATGATTCAAATGCCAAGTGCGAGTATCATGCTGGTGCCATTGGTCATTCAACAGAAAATTGTTGGGCACTGAAGTTCAAAGTGCAAGACTTAATTAATGCCAAATAGTTGAATTTCAAGAAGAATACTCTTAACATTGGGAATAATCCTCTGCTCGGACACGGAGGATCATCAATAAATGTCATCAAAGAAGAGTCTGCCCACATTTTAAAGAGAAAAATTGAAGTGGTTACAACTCCTCTGAAAGTTATCTTCACAGAATTGTGCAAGGCTAATATAATCGAGGGTGTTGTTCATGAAGGAAGTATGTGTGATATGCACCCTGATGCAAGCCACTCCATTAAGAATTGTTAAGAATTCAAGCATGCCCTGCAAACCCTGATGGACAAACATTTGGTTCAAATTGGGTGTCCTAAAGAAAAAAATGAAGTTTTTACTGTTTGATAGACAATCTCTGGCCTTCCCAAAACCCTTAGTCATTCATTATACCAAAAGTATGAATACTCCAACCCTTAATAGACCCAAACCCATCACTATACAAGTACCGGCTCCGTTTCCTTACAAGGATAACAAAGCAATGCCTTGGAGGTATGATGCAAGAGTTTTTGTTGATAATCAGAAAGGAGACCAGACAGAAGGTATCAGCTCTAATACATCTGCCATCTCAAATATAGCTGGCGTTGGAGGGATGATCCAAAGTGGTCATATATATACACTTGAAGAGTTGAGAAAAGAGCAGACAAGAGAAATGGAGAGATCTTGAAAAGGGAAGGCCAAATTGGGAGACTCTGAAGATATGGATGAAGGGAAAATGCTTGAAACAAAAAAGGTGGTATATGACGAAGAAGCTTATGAAAAAGTTTATTAAACAAAGTGAATATCAAGTTGTGGAGCAATTAAACCGCACTCCAGCTAAGATATCTCTTCTATCCCTACTACTGAGTTATGAGCCACACAGGAAGATATTAATAAGGGTGCTAAATGAAGCACATGTTAATCATGACACAACTATTGACCAGTTTGGGGGCATTATCAGTAATATTGCTTCAAATAACTATCTCACTTTCACTGACGATGAAGTACCTGCTGAAGGAATGGGGCACAATAGAGCGTTGCATATTTTTGTGAAATGTCAAGATCATATCATTGCTAGAGTGCTTATTGATAACGGGTCCTCTCTGAATGTGATGCCAAAAACGACATTGTCAAAATTACCCTGTAATGGATCGCATATGAAACCTAGTGCAATGATAGTGAGAGCCTTTGATAGAACAAGGAGGGAGGTCATTAGAGAAATTGAAATTCTAATTCAAATTGGTCCTTGCACCTTTCAAATTCTGTTTCAAGTAATGGATATTACACTAGCTTATAGCTGCCTATTGCGGAGGCCTTGGATTCATTCAATTGGAGTTGTACCATCTACATTACACCAAAAGTTAAAATTTATCGTTGGCAATAAGCTAGTAATCGTCTCTGGTGAGGAAGATATATTGGTGAGCAAGCTTTCGTCCACTCCTTATATCGAGGTTGCTGAGAAAGCTCTAAAGACTGCTTTTCAGGCTTTAGAGATTGCAAGCACTACTTATGTTGGGGAAGGAGCTCTAATCATGAAGCCTCAGTTATCTAATACTTCTATAATGACTGCTAAAGTCATGCTTGATGGAAGTTGTCAATATGGATATAGGTCAGGGTGAATCATGTCAAAACTAGCAAAATGGCCACAGCTCCATGAGAACAAGGATAGGTTTGGGCTAGGGTACACACCCACTAAAGCTGATAAGAAAAGAGTTATGGAGGAGAAGAAAGAAAGAAGGGCAGGTTGGAAGGTAGAGAGCCAAACACTAAAGGGGTCCCTATCTGTGATCTTCTAAAAAGCTATTGCAGTGCCGGGTTTGAATTTCAAGATTCAGTGGCTATTGCTGATGAAGAGGAACTTGAAGAAAAGGTTGTCAACCTAGTCCGCGTTTGTCCGCCAAACACTAGAATCGACAATTGAAAAATCATCGAGCTTCCTGTGGTCTTTAATGCTTATTCAAAGTAATTAAGCCAATCATATTGCTCTGTCTAAAGCTTTAGGATATATATATATATATATTTTTTGAATAGATTGACAAATAACTTCTTTATTGTAATTTATATTCACAAATATGTTTTGTAAACTGGGACACATATTTCCTTTTAAAATGTTATGAATGAAATGCACTTTGAACTTTTAATAATCTTTCTAGTCTTCCTTTTTTGTTTGAGTCTTGTTGTTTATTTTCTCTCCTTTTGTCTCAACTCCTAAATTTTGTAGATTTAAAAGTGACATGCTTGAAAGTGACAATGCTAGTATTTCATCAAATAATTTTGATTACCCAATTAATCAAACTGATGAAAATAATGATAATGATTTTGAATTATCCCCTGAAATGTTAAGATTAGTCGAGCAAGAAGCGAAAGACATCCAACCTCATGAAGAGCCAACTAAGATAATTAATCTGGGAACCAAAGAAGATAAGAAAGAGGTCAAGATTGGTATCCTCATGAAGGAGCAAGAACATAATAAGTTGATTAAACTTTTGCATGATTTTAATGATGTTTTTGCATGGTCATATCTAGATATGCCAGGTCTTGACACTAGCATAGTTGAGCATCGACTGCCATTGAAATTAGAATGTCCCCTAGTTAAGCAAAAGTTGAGAAGAATGAAGCCTGAGATGTCTTTGAAGATTAGAGAAGAAGTCAAAAAGTAATTTGATGCAGGCTTTCTTGTTGTCGTAAAATACCCTCAATGGGTTGCTAACATTGTGCTTATACCAAAGAAATATGGAAAGGTTCAAATGTGTGTTGATTACATAGATCTAAATAGAGCTAGTCCCAAAGATGATTTTCCATTACCTCACATTGATGTATTGATAGATAACATAGCCCAATATTCATTATTCTCTTTCATGGACAGTTACTTAGGCTATAATCAGATTAAAATGGCTGAAGAAGATATGGAGAAGACCACATTCATTACACCTTGGGGCACCTTTTGCTATAGAGTCATGCCATTCGGATTGAAAAATGCTGGGGCAACATATCAAAGAGCAACGGTCACTTTGTTTCATGATATGATGCACAGGGAGGTCGAAGTCTATGTGGATAACATGATTGCCAAATCGAAGAATGAAGAAGACCATGTGAGTAATTTGCATAAGTTGTTTGAGCAATTGAGAAAATTCAAGTTAAGATTAAACCTAACTAAATGCACTTTTGATGTGAAATCAGGAAAGTTATAAGGGTTCATAGTCAGTCAGAAAGGAATTGGGGTTGATCCTGATAAAGTAAAGGCAATAATTGAAATGCTGCCTCCCCGCACCGAAAAGGAGGTCTGTGGATTCTTAAGGAGATTGAATTACATTGCCCGATTCATATCCCAATTAACTGCTACTTGTGAACCAATATTTAAACTATTGCAAAAAAACCAATCAATGGAGTGAGATGATAATTGTCAAGAGACATTTGAGAAAATTAAGCAGTATTTATAGAATCCACCGATTTTGGTGCCGCCAGTTTCAGGGAAACCACTCATCATGTATTTGACAGTCTTGGAAGGATCCATGGGATGTGTTTTAGCTCAACGTGACAAATCTGGTAGGAAAGAACACGCCATTTACTACTTGAGCGAGAAATTCACTGATTATGAAGCAAGATACTCATTGCTGGAGCGTACCTATTGTGCCTTGGCTTAGGCCACTCATAGGCTAAGGCAATATATGTTGAGTCACACGACTTGGTTGGTGTCAAAAATGGATCCAATCAAGTATATCTTTGAAAAACTAGCCCTTACTAGAAGGATTGCTCGATGGCAAGTTCTCTTATCAGAATATGATATTGTATATGTTACCCAGAAGGCAATCAAAGGCAATGCGCTTGCTAATTTTCTAGCTCAACAACCAATAAATGATTATCAGTCAATGCAATGTGAGTTTCCTAATGAAAGTATAATGGCGTTGTTTGAAGAGAAGGAATCTTCAAGAAAAGAAGAATGGGTCATGATGTTTGATGGTGCTTCTAATGCGCTTAGACACGGGATTGGAGCTATATAGATTTCTCTAGAGAAGTGATATATCCCAATCACAGCTAGATTATCATTTGATTGTACAAATAATATAGCTGAATATGAGGCCTGCACTGTGGGAATTCAAGCAGTTATGGAGTCAAAAATCAAAGTTCTCGAAGTGTATGGTGACTCAGCCTTGGTCATCCATCAGTTGAAAGGGGAATGGGAGACTTGGGATGCAAAGTTGATTCCTTACCAAGCCTACATCAAAGAATTGATAGAGTATTTCAATGAGATTACCTTCCAACGTATTCCTTGTGAGAATAATCAACTGGCTGATGCTTTAGCCACTTTGTCGTCAATGTTTGTAATAAGTCAAAATACGGATATGCCACTTATAAAAATGCGATAACATGATCGGCCAACTTACTGTCAAATGATCAAAGGAGAATCCGATGGTAAACCATGGTACCATGACATTAAGAGTTATCAAAAAAATCAAGAGTACCCATTGAATGCTACTGATAATGACAAAAGAACACTGAGGAGATTAGCAATGGGTTTCTTCTTAAATGGAGAAGTGATTTATAAAAGGAATCATGACACGATATTGCTCAGATGTGTAGAGGCTTTAGAAGCACAAAAGATCATGGAAGAGATTCATGAAGGTTCATTTGGGACCCATGCCAATTGACATGCCATGGCAAAGAAAATTCTAAGGGCTGGGTATTACTGGTTAACGATGGAGACCAATTACTTTCGATACGCAAAGACATGCAATAAATGTTAGACATATACTGATAATATTAATGTTTCCCTAACGACTCTAAATGTCTTGTCATCACCATGGCCATTCTCAATATAGGGAATAGATGTCATTGGACCCATTGAACCTAAAGCTTCTAATGATCACCGTTTCATCCTTGTTGCTATTGACTATTTTACAAAATGGGTTGAAGCTACCTCATATGCTAGTGTGACTTGAAATGTGGTAGTGAAGTTCATTAAAAGAGACTTGATCTGTCGGTATGACCTCCCAAGCAAGTTGATAACAGATAATGGTACTAATCTGAACAACAAAATGATGAAAGAATTGTGTGATAACTTCAAGATTCAACATCATAATTCCTCACCTTATCATCCAAAGATGAATGGAGTAGTTGAAGCGACTAACAAAAATATTAAAAAGATCATTCAGAAGATGGTGGTGACATATAGGGATTGGAATGAAATGTTGCCCTTGACCTTACATGGATATCGAACTTTAGTTCGTACCTTAACTGGGGCAACTCCATACTCTTTGGTATATGGGATGGAAGCAATACTTCCTATTGAAGTTGAAATTCCCTCTTTAAGAGTGTTAATGGAGACTAAATTGGAAGAGGCATAATGGGTTCAGTCTCATTTTGATCAGTTGAATCTAATTGAAGAAAAGCGGTTGAATGCATTATGTCATGGTCAGCTATACCCAAAAAAGGATGAAAAAAGCTTTTGATAAAAAAGTTCGTCCAAGAGAATTTGTTAAAGGAGACATAGTGCTCAAAAAGATTTTACCAACACATAAAGATCATCGTGGCAAGTGGTCTCCAAACTATGAAGGACCCTATGTGGTGAAAAAGGCGTTCTCGAGAGGAGCTTTGATCCTCATAAACATGGATGGAGAAGACCTTACAAACCCCATCAATTCTGATGCTGTCAAAAAATACTATGCTTAAAATAACAATAATAATAATAATAATAAAAAGAAAAAGAGAAAAGAAAAGAAAGTAACTTGCTAGGTTGAAAACTCGAAAGGGCAACCAAGGCAAAAGTTAGAGTGACCTGCTAAGTTGAAAACTCGAAAGAGCGGCTCAGGCAAAAATTAAGGTCAAATAAACTCTACACTAAACTGAAAATCCACAAAGGCAGTTCAGAAGAAAATGGAGCAAGACTTTAGTTGCAAGAAAGCGTTTCAAACTGAGACAATGTGACAAATTGAAACACTAAACTGGGGCAATTTTGAGAGATTAAAGTTGAATTGAGCCGAAGATGAAACCAAAACATCATACTGGGGCAATTCTATTTGGAAGTTTTGTTAATAAGTGGTCAATTTACTTGAGGGACTAGCATTGTTCATCTGGAAGATGTCATTTAGGCAATAGGATACATTGCTATTGTCGTAATTATTCTAATTATTTGTTTGATATATTTGTTTTTCTTATTATTCGTGTTATAAGCCTTCTTTGTAAATTAACTTTATTCCTTTTTCTTCTTCTTTAATTATAGTAATCTCATTTTGTTTCAAATATTTGTTTCTTGGCTTTTGTCACCTTTCGTTCAGTCTACACATCATCTCGCCAATTTACTTACTCAAATTCTTCAACAGTGTTAAATAGTTATTCTATTGTCATTTCAGTAATTATATACCAAAAGGAGACATGTTAATTGAAAAAAGAAAATAAAATACAAGCTTTAAAATCCACAGTAAGTCTCCTGAGTCTTCTGATAAGTTTACCGTTACAGAAAAGTTGACACTTCATGACAACTCAAAAGTAAGCAGCAATCTGACTTGACTAAATGTTCTACCCAGAACAGCTCCAATGAAAGAATTGATCCAGACCAAAATTTTGCTCATTCAAGAACCTTGATGTGTCTGTTCTATTAAGGATCAAGAAATTTGAAACCCAAAAAAAAAAAAAAAAGAAGAGAAAAATTTGTTTTGATTTAATAAGTCTAATCACAACATTTGATCTCATCATGTAATAATTACATTCCAAGTGTTAACATTCATTCAGTTTACGCAATCATATCATTACATTAGCATGCGTTTGTTTTATTTATTGTCACCATTTGAAGATCAGCTTAAAATTCAGCATATACTTTACCTTTATTTTCAACCTGAACCTAGGATTTGAGTAGCTACTTTTACCTTTTTGTCAAGATTCAGAAACTGATTGATCTCCCTATATTTTTACCTTGCTTTTATTGTCTAAGCCCAAACCCTGACTGTCACATTTTATTTTTTGTCAAAGTCCAAGACCTAATTGGTGCATTTCACTTTTACTGCCATAATTCATAACCTAACTCACTTTTTACTTTTCTTTCAAAGTCTAGGACCTGACTGACACATTTTACTTTTATTGTCAAAGTCCAGAATCTGACTGACACCTTTTACCTTTCTTTCAAAAGCCCAAAACTTGATTAGCATTGCCTTTTCATTTTTATTGTCAAAGGCACAGAAACTGACTAGCTCATATCCAATCTTCTTTCAAAGTTCAGAATCTGACTAACTTTTTTACACTTTTGACAAAGTCTAGTACTTCACTTCTAGCTTATATTTTCAGCATAAGCCCTACATTTGTTTGGCAACCTTTGTTTTTAGTCAAAGTACAACGTGACATCACAAATTTTTATTTTTATTTTTGACAAGTCACTAAACCATTAATCCTGCAACATTTTGTTATGTCATCTGTCTCATAACTAAGTGTTCACCACCCTTGTCTTCGCGTTTTAGTGCATTTTGTCATTGTCAAAAAAAATTGATTCATATCTTTACTCAATTCCTATCACTCTAGTATAGAACTTGTTCATACATATAGCTTGATAAGAACTGAGTAAAGAGGGGTAATTGTGAATACAATTTTTTTTATTTATTGTTTCCTTTTTACTATTTTAATTAAATAAAGATGAAGAACCCGTAAAATAGGGAACACATAAACTACTCCCGCTGCTTGCAAACACAAGCTCAAAATCGAAATTGCAAAGAAATGGAATGGAATGTTTAAGCAAAGAAGAAGAGATGTAATTTAGAAAGAAAAAATAGCATATGACCAAAATAAAAGGAAGGCAACCGAAAAGAAAAGAGGAGGGGATAAAAACAGAAGGCACCCAAGAAGAGAAAAAAAGGAAAGGGAAAGATATTAGAACAAGGAAGATAAAAAAAAAGAAAAGAGAAATTAAGAAAAAAACACAAAGGATTGAGGAACACAAAGGAGACAATGATTGAAAAGGAAGAAACATTAGAAAAATTCATAAGCACCGCAGAGCAAATTCCAGTAATTTTTCTTAGTAAGTATCTACAGATTCTTCAAATTGAACAATGTTTAGAGCTATTCACATGCTATCTTTGTAATCATTTTACGCACTTTAGCACACAAAATATATCTAATTTTAAACAGCAAGACCACATATTTAGAACTGCGCACAAAATGTCGACTGTGATTTATTACCTCCATTGTTGATCATCATGTTTTGTCGTTCATGTCACTTTCTCATTGAAGTGTCATAGAGCTTTGAACCACTGCCAAGGACTATGATGTGCCATCACTCCTCCTTTTCTTCCTCTCTCATTCTTCGTGTATGCATTTTTCTTTCTCATCTTTCTTCCTCTCACTGAATCATTTTTCCCCCGCATCAGAACCCCAAATGTTAGATGTTGTGAACCCACGAACTCATTGTCGTCGATCTCATTCTATTTCCAAAAGCCAAAGTCTCATTTCCCTACTTGGATTTGATGGAACCCTAAACCTCCCTTTCTGAAAAGCCATGATTTCTTGTCGCTGATAAGATGAAAGAAGAAGTCACAAGACCCGCTGGATGCAACGCACATCATTTAGGATATATACATATTAAATATTAAAATTAATCAGGTTAATTTCTAATAAAAAAAAAACCAAACTTTTCAAATTAAAATTTCGTTTCTTAAATTTATTTTCATTTTTAGTTATTTCTTATACAAACTTTTATTTTTACATACTAATTTCTTTTTTTATTGTAATATGTAAAGTTGTAAAAAGAAAAGAGAGGATTCTAAATTTACAAAAGTTTTAAAATAATGCATGTGTTCTTCTTTTATTTTTAGTCTAATTTTTTGTATTATTTTTTGTTATTATTATTATTATTGTTTAAATTAATTTTTATCATGACACTAATAATGATGCTACAGCGAATATAATTAACTATGAAAATTAATTTTTATTCTTTACGCTATTTTATTGTTTTCATTTTAACTATTTATTTATCTTGTCTAGTTTGTTGATATTGTTATCATTATGATTGTTTCATGTAATATTATTTAAATTTATATTTTATGTCATGATTATTGAATTATGTTATATTTAAAATGATATAATATATAATAAATAAGTAAATAAATGAAATATTTACATTAACTTATAGCATGACATATAACTTCTTTATTGCCGTGCTTTATAAATTGATGAGACCTATGTATACCTACGTTATCATAAGTCTTATTTTAAATAAGTCTATCTTATCATAAATCTAATTAATCAAGTAACTATTATTAACTAACCAAATATATTTAATTAAATATCTCTTTTATCAAAAATTTAAGTTAAAATAAAATTATTTATTAATGTAACAAGTTAATAACGTCATTGTGCAGCAACTCTATATTTGTGCGTTATAAATTATTAAAACTTATGTATACTTACGTTATTTTAAGTTTCACTTAAATATATATATATATATATATATATATATATTTATTCTTATTTTTTTATTCTAAAAGTTAAAATATATTCTATTCATTAGACACTTACTTTATTAACCAAATATATTATTATAAATACGAGTTTATTTTATATTAAATCTTAAATTTATTTTCTAAATTATTAAATAATAATATGTTAACTGAATAATTAAATTAAAATCATATAGGTGCATCGGTTTATAACGTCATAGTGTGACATCTTTGTTAAGTGCAATAAATTTATATTCTATCATTAATTTGGTACATTTTTTTGGTTAAAATGTAAATAATTTTGGGTATATTTAACTCCCAATTGGATGAATTAATCTAATTGAAGAAGTCATAAGAGTAGTAGTGTTTTCTTTTAAAATATCTATCTTTTGTGCATAATTTGGTGAAGTCTGAAATTCAGGACTACACCCCAAAGTCACAGCTACAACCATGAAAGTATGCAACAAAAAGAGGATTCCAGAGAGTTACAGCCAAAGTTATGAATCTGCAGCTATAACCGTGAGAGAATTAGTGCAAGTCAAAGCTATAACACTATTGGTGAAGTCTAATTAATGAATCCATAGCTATAGTCGTGGAGTTAAAATCTGTTCGAATTTTCTTTGTTTTGAAGACCTATAAAAGAAAAACGTCTGGGAAGTGAAAGGGGGAGAAAAGCATAATAGATTAGAGAAAAAGGACTTTTCGGAGGAAGGAAAAAAAGGAAGAACGAAGTAACGGAAGACGTAAAGAGGATCGCTTCAGAACGAGAATCACATCTTCACTTTTTCTCATTATAATTTCAGTCTGCATCTTGATATAGCCCTCACTATGAGTGGCTAATTTCTTTTGGCTTGAATTTAATATAACTCCTAACTCAATTACTTCATGAGTTTTTATGATTTTCAGTTTACTTGAGTGTGATTCTATTCTTAATGCTTAATTTGGCTTGATAACTCGGTTTATGATCCTTAGTTTTTGAATTCTGTTGGGAAACGCTTTTGAAAATCTGAACTGAATTACATACCTAATAATCACTTGTACTAGGAATAGATTTGGGGTTGTTAGCCACATATGTTCAAGTTTTGTTCTTAATGCAAGGTATTAATCTTAAAATATAGAGGAATCATGTTGTAGGATTAATTACCTTAGGACTTAATTTTGAGAAATTTGGTTAAGTTATGTAATGGACGTGGAAGTAATAGAATTGGAATCATATTTATTCAATGAAGATAAAAGAGTTAGAAAGTATATTTGAATCTGATCTTTTCTCGCATAAGGTTTTCTGCTAAATTTTAATTTGTTGCTTTTATATATTTTAAAACAAATCAATATTTCATCACAATCTTTATATTTTTATATATAACAAGAAAGAAAATCACTATTATCACCAAATCCCTGAGGACGATATCAAATTACTACATCGAAGCTTAGTCCGCTTGTCAAGTGTTACCAAAAAGACCATCAATCTCTACCTTTATACGTTTGAAATTGTTGAGACCTTTGTATACTAACGTTATCTTAGTCTCATGCAATACAAACTTGTTAAAAATATATTTTAATTTCCCTCAAATAAACGTCTATCTTTACTAATCAATTTAAATATATTAATTTTTAAAAATATTTTTTATTAAATAAAATTAATTTCATATTTAAAAATTTTAAATTATGTTTCCAACTTTAAGAAAATATTTTTACTAAATTTTAACAAAATATTTTGCAACATAAATGTGCGAGTTACATTGCCTTTAGTCGACGGATTAGTTATGAGATATTTATGTATAGCTTATGTTATCTTAAATTTCTTCGATATTAAAATTTTTGAATTAAATTATATATTAAAAATATTTTTTTGTAAATTAAATATTTGGTCTTAATTATTATACTTTTACAATGACTTACAACATGAATGTGTGATCTTCCTTCACCTTTCGTATTGTTCGTCATGAGGTAACATGTATAGTTGCGCTATTTTGTCTCCTCAAAAGTCTAAACAATTTTTATTTTATTTTTCTAAGAAAATATGATAAATTTCAAAACAAGTTCTTTTAAAATCTTATAAATTAATAAAATAATTCTACTATTTTTTTATAGAACTACGTGACTTTGAGTTCTCCATTGCACCCGGGTATACATAGGAGCAAAATCATATCTGTCGAGTCAAAACAATTTTAAAATATTTTTTCTTTTCTAAGATATAACTTAATATTTTTAATAAATAGATATTCTTTCTTTTAAAAATAAAAATAGCAACATTCTGTTTAGGGTTAAATAAATACTTTTCAAAATTATAATAAATTTGCACAATTAATTTAAAGTAACGGTTATTTAAATGGATGTTGTACGGTGCTAAAACCTTCCCTACACGTAAAGGACTCCCGAATCCATTTAGTTTCAAAGATCAAAATTTTAAATTTTTCTGAGATTTTCTTTAATAAACTTTGATGGCGACTCTACTAATTTTTCTTAAAAACGATTTCGTCGTACCGTTACGAATGTCCAATTGCGACAGATAAAAAAATAAAACTACTTAATTGAGCTTGCTTTTTCAAAAGGTAAATTCTGAATATAGTCATAACTTTTTATGAATACGTTTACAATATTAATATTTATTTAACACTCTACATGTTTTATTTATTATATTACATTATTTGTTATATTTATCATTTTGTATCTTTCTCTAAATATATACATTTTCAGATTTTTATAAAAATATTTTGTAAATTTTTTTTGTTCTAATATAATATTTTTATAATTTTTAAGAGTATTTATTATTTTTATATTTTTATTATTAAATTTTTTTCAACTTCTCAACCCTTTCTCTATAAAAGTGGCTCATTTTGCTGCTCACCGTAAGTGAGAAACTTTATAGTATTGCTTAAAAAATTAATTTTATTAGGCTAATAAAAGTAGTGTATAACCTCAACAAAGTTTAATGTTTTTAATTTTTGTGAACCTAACTTAAATCGAAATTTATCGAAGCAGGTTAAAAAAAATTATTTAAAATACAAATCTTAATCTTATTATGTAGATTTGATTCAATTGAACAGATTATTTTATTGATACTATTAAAAACTAATAAAATTTTTTCAAAGTTTGTATAACAAGAATAAAGAATAATTAAAATACTAATAAAATTTAACAAATTAAAAGTAAATTTAAAATGATATAATCAATTTTTAAAAATTGACTTGTATATTAACTACTTTTAATAAGATAGAAAGTACATTCGTTAGGCGTGTAGACTATTTTCCCACTTTATATAAGTGGCAGGTGTGCAACGAGAGAAGTTCAGTAGCTACTTACTTGCACAGACCGAAACCCTCCCTCCTTATTCAACATTAACCTTTCCTTGTGCTCTGATCTGTTCTGTTAGGAGTAGCAGATGGCGAAGCTTCCTTCAGTGTTCTCTTTGAGGCACTGTTTGGTGTTATCTCTCGCCTTGAACGTGAGCTTGATACTGAGAATGATGTATGAAAGTGAAGAAAGGCACAACAACTCGTGTTTGGAAACACAAAGAGGAACCTCGATTGCAATTAGTTCTAACACGGAGGGGCACAATATCCACAAATCACGCGTTGTTATATCACCCACTTTGTCTTTGCCCAATTCTACTTGCACGGATCAAACAGGAGCCACCAATAGAGTCATCAACCTCGACCAGTAAGTGCAAGCTATGCTTAATTATTTTGTTCCCTTCATTAAAATTCTAATAATGTCTTCGTGAAGGTTCCTAACTTACTAAATTTAGTGTCGCTAGTTATTAATTTTGGGCTAGGAAGCAACTTTTGAAGACATTTCCAAAACTTTTTGACAATTCAGTTGCTTGTGTCAGTGAACTTGTTCCTCGTAACGGCAATTTTCGTTTTATCTTTGCTATTATTTTATTTAGTTTATTATTTGAGCCAGTCGTGGCTCTGTTTCTGCTAGGACTGAGGATTGCGTCTTTGGTACTGTTCTTTGCTTGCTGCTCTTGTTTCCTCAGAAGACAGGGACAAAACCTCCTCTCTAACGTGAACCCAAAATGTCAGAGATAAAACAACTCAGTATAAAAATTCGTTTCAGTGTATGTGAAGATTTTAAATTCCATTTTTCTTAACGGTGGCAAGATTGGAGGGGATACAAGTTATATATAATTAATTTTAATTTATTTAACATGCACTGTATTATAAAGAATAAGAAGTTAAATATAACAATTTTGTATTAAAAATTGTATTAAATTATAAAAATTTTAATTAAATTATTTTTTATATAATTTCTCATCTTATATATTATTGCATATATTAAAAAAATTGAATATATATTCTTCTAAATTAAACAAGTTAATGTATTGATACTATTAAATGTTGTTTTAATAATATAATAGATAATTTGAAGTAAATTTTTTTTTATAAAAAATAATGTTGTCAATATATCCTATGGTTATTATATTAATGTAATTTCATCAATATTTCAATAAAATAATTTTATTTTTTAATTAATATATTAAAAATTTTGTTAACAACATTTTTAAAATTTTAATGAAAAAGAAGTGTCTAATTACCGAACTTATAATTTCTTAATTCCTATCTTATATTATTGTTATTATTATTACATCATAATGTTGCTGATTTTGTTAGTTCATATTATTGCTGTTCTTATTTAGTTATCTAAAAATTTATTAATTATTATTTTTTCACTAATACACTTTTGTTTATGGAAGATATTGTACAAGTTTACTATACATCTATCATTTCACTAACAATTAAAATTGAACAGAATGCGAATCACTATGCATACGTAAACAGCCTTGTTACGCCAAAGTGAGAAAATGGATTGTAATAGTCTTACAAACAGGGACTTAAACAACTTTTTCCCTTGTATTCTGGAAAGTAAATGACCTTTTTCTCTTGTAAATTCGAAGTTCGTTTTTATACCAAAAGTTTTAGTATAATGTTGATGTCAATATTAAACATAAAAATAAAGAAATGAAGTGATGATTATCTGTGTACTCTGTTTCAGAGTTGAAGGGTCGAAATTTAGTTAGGGAAAGTAGCGCCGTATTTGTGGTAGAGCGTGCTCGATTATAGCCAAGTAGGAGAGTCTAACTTTAGCACCATTGGTGGGATTCTCATTGACATTGTCCATCCCAAAATCATTATGCACATTAACCTCCTCTTACACTTGTTCTTCTTCAGATTTTTTTATTTAAAATTACTTTTTTCAAAAGTTATTACTTTCTTTTTCTACATATGATTTGTTCCGTGAGCTGCACTTATTATTCATTTGGTACGAAATGAAACGTCAATTTTATAGGATACCAAATTCAAATGAACTATACAAAATTTACAGTATATTTATCTTTAATTAGGTATGTAAAAATTCAACTCATATTTCCGACTCGTTTTTGCCTTATGTTAATTTTAACATATTCAAATTTTTAAAATTACACCTATTATATGTTAAGAGTGGATTCGTGTTATATTTTGAGATATTCTAACTCAACCTAATGTCTATTTCAAAAAAAAAATTACGGATTAATAATAAAAGTTAAAAATTTAATAGATAATATATTTATATTATTCATTAAAATAAATAACGTAAAATATATTTTAACTTTAGTTTTGTATTTTATTAATTCCATAGTTTAAGTATTAATAATGTTGAAGTTGATATAAAATTTATAAATCAAGTTAAATTTAATTTTATCCCAATAAATCGAGTAGAATTCAGTCGGCAAAGACGATATTATAAAAATTTCAAATTAGATAATTAAGGGTAAATATAAATTAGTCCTAACCCTTCTTATAACATGAATTTTAAATTGAACATTATAAAATTTATGAATAGTAGATCAACATTTAAAAAAAATGGTATAATGTTAGTGTAACAGTGGTTGTTGGTGGTTGGAAGAAGATGGTGGGGTCACATGCCGGATGCGCGCGTAGACAGTCTTTCGGCAGTGACCATAAGGCTATTATGGAAGCGCTCCTTTGGTTCTGTGAATGAGGTGAGATTTATAGAACTTTCGGCCACCCCAATCGTGAGTCGCTCAATTGTAAAAGCTTTTCATGTGTCCTTTGTTTTTCTCGTTTTCATTTTTCCATTTTTTGGTCTCTATGTGGGCCCTTGGAATCTGGATCTACATATCAACTGCACCATTGTGGGTCCTTCGTCAAATGGAAATCTTCCTCCAACATCTTTTGTCGCTTTACTCTTCAGCCGTGCATGGCTCCCATTGATATGATGTAATTTTTAATGCATACATCTACCCATCTTTCTATCTATCTAATCATTGCTTGCCTAATGCAATTTTTTCTTTACTTTTCCCATAACTTGACACATGCAGTTGCAACCCTTAGTTAACGCCCTTTCTTCGACACGTTCATTGCTCCTTCTTTACCTAATCCATTGGCGGAGATCTTAAACATGTCTAAACAAAATTATTAAGCCTTTACTCTAAAGGAATTGGGAATAGACTTACGTCATTTTTGTTTTGAGACAAGGATAAACTGTGACGCTACTTGTTAGAAGGGTTAAATGAATCTGTCAATGTCCATAAAGCCTTATTAAATGTTTAAAGTTATGTAGGCTTTTCATTTTCAACTTTATCTATAGTAATTTTTTTTGAGTTGGACTTTTAGAGATAATTAACTTGATTTTAAAGCATAGTACTTTTTATTTGCACTTATACTACATTCAAGTTATATTTCTGCAAAAAATAGAACTCAGTGTATCTAATAAAGAAACTAATTTCAATTCACAAATAATTTCGAAATTCAGATCATGGCCTACATGGGAAGGGGAGAGGAGTGCAGATTACAGATAATATCGTAATATATTTCATGCTTTTCGGTGGTATCATAGAAGCCGTGAATTATAAATTTTGTAATGAATAATGTTCGTTCATTGTTGGACATGACAATGCAAGATCTGGTTAGTTTCTGATGAATTGTCCTTAAATTAAACGAAAGATTTAAATATATGCAGTGGAGACCCGACAGTGTACGAGAGATTTTGGAGACAAATGGGTGACAAGAGCACGATCATAATCCCGGGATGGCAATCGATGAGTTATTTTTCTGATGTAACCAACATTTGCTGGTTCTTGGAGGCAGAGTTTGCTAGGGAAGTGGTGAGGTTGCACAGAGTGGTGGGCAATGCAGTGACAGAAGGGCGTCACATTGTTGTTGGGACAGGTTCCTCTCAGCTCTTTCTTGCTGCTCTCTATGCTCTGTCCCCGCGTGATGCACCTGAACCAATCAGTGTCGTCTGTGCTTCACCCTATTACTCGGTCAGTGAGCTTTTATCTTGTTTCTGTTTAAAATCATGTTTGCATCTTTCAAATCTCATAAAATTAATAAGATTCTTCTGAAAGAGACACTTATTAATTGTGGCATCCAATGTGTTCATGCCATTTCTTGTGTATGGTATACCGTAATTAATTAGCCGCCTCATCATTCCAAGTTTTAATAAAAAATATTATTTATTGATTTTTTCAATTTAAAAATCCATTTAATTTTTATCCTTCTGGATGTTCATCTAATATCTTTGTACCACTCCTGCATCTGCTCACATGATAGTTGATATTTTTGTTGAACGGTGGCATGTGGTGGACTATGAGTAAAATATGGCGTAGCAGATGGGTCATTCATTCAATTCATAAACAAGAGAGGGAAAATGTCCCATCTGGCTTGATTACTAAATAGGGTATAGTTGACGCTTAATCGCTCTTACTGCGTATTTGAAAATTTCGTAAAATTATGTCTATTGACCTTTTAATGTAAAGTTTTTTTAACGTAGTTCTATTCAAAATGAGGGGGGAAAATGATTGTTAGTTATTTTAAAATATTTTAAATAATTTAGACTCTCCCACATGCATACATTGTTATTCTACCCTCACTCTCTAGTTCTTGAGTTTGTGCTTTTTTAAAAAGAAATTATGTCATAGATCTATTTTGTCTTATGCTTAATTTTCTTTATTTTAAATATTGGGTCTTTATTTTTTTATTTAAATTCTAAATTGTATTACAATTTTTTAATATAAGTTCAATTCAAGAGTATGAAAAAGTGATTGAGCTTTAAGCTTGAGTGCTTTATTTATATAAAATATTTTATGTAATTTAGATTTAAAATCATTATAGACCTTTAATTTGTTGTTAATTTATCAATGTAAACTTTTGATTATCTAACAGTTATAATTTATAGCATTAAAATGATTATATATTTTAAAAAATTTAATGTGAATCTAAACATATTTTATGAGATATTTATAAATAAGATGCTAATGGCCCACTCTTGAAGAATTTAACAGATTTATACGAATGGACACACATTTTAATTACATGACTGACTTTCTTATAGGGTATGTCATAATAAATTTGATTTTTTTTTTGTCATATTATTAGATAAGGTATATACATGACTGACTTTCTTATAGGGTAAATAGTAAAATAATCAGCATTTAACATTATCATAAGTTGTAAAAGTAAAATTCTAATTTTGCATTAAAAAATAAGATAAAAGTAATTTAAAAATTATCTAAATTTTATCTTATTTAAAGTATACAAGACATTTTATCAATAAATTAGTAGAATTATTTTGTGAAAAAAGTAAATAAATTAATAAATTTTGAACATTATAGATTATAAAACATTACTTTAATTAACATCAATGTTTAAGAAGCTACTCAATATTTTTTTTTCTTTCTAGTCATAAATTTTTAAATAATTTACACTTAAAATATTTTTAATACTTCTTTTTTAATTATTTAACACATTTACTAAACAACTTTAATTCAATATGTTAATTAAAGCTATAAACTATAAAAATCCATTTGTTTTCCAAAAAAAAATCTATCATGTTAATTATAAGAATCATTGATTAAATTTAAAAGAAATTATTTAATGTTTTTAATCTTTGTAAGGTGATGATATTGACAAGAAGTGTTTGCAGTCATACCCATCAATGACAGATCACCTGAAATCAGGCCTATACAGATGGGCTGGGGATGCAGAAAGTTTTGAGAAAGATGGCCCCTACATTGAGTTGGTAACGTCTCCTAATAATCCTGATGGACATGTAAGACGGTCAAAAGTCAACCGAAGCCAAGGATTTTTGGTTCATGACCTTGCCTATTACTGGCCTCAGTACACTCCAATATCATCACCTGCAGACCATGATCTAACTCTTTTCACTGTCTCCAAAAGCACTGGCCATGCAGGAATGCGCATAGGGTAAGTTCCCCCATAACACAAACACTTTATGTGTTCATGTTCTGTTCCCCTCAATTATTTATTTTGTGTCACTATGAAGATATGTAACAATTGTCTTCATTAAAAATTACATTTAAAATATATTAATGACATTAAATATATTTTTTTTATTAAGGACATTAGTTAGTATTTTAAATAGTAGTCCATAGTTAGTATTTTTTTTTTTTTAAATGATAGCCCACACTTAATAAATATAATAGATGGATTGTATTTTGTTAGAATAGTTTTGAAAGAGAGGTAAGCAATTTCTTTGTTTGCATATGTTTACCATAGTTAGGGATTGTTTGACATTGGAAATCAAACATTAGAAGTGTGGCTAATTACCCCTTTGGATTTCTAGCAAGTGTTTGATCTATTCAAATAAAGAAATGAGAAGGTGGGTAGAGATGACTTAAATTCCTAAATGCTTCCACTCTTTATTATGTATAGGTGGGCTCTTGTAAAAGACCAAGAGGTAGCAAAGAAAATGACTAAATTCATTGAGCTCAACACAATAGGAGTGTCTAAGGATTCTCAACTCAGAGCAGCTAAGGTTTTAAGGGCAGTTTCTGATAGCTGGGAACAAGGAAACTCCCAAGAGGGTGAGTCATTCTTCAAGTTCAGCCACAAGCTCATGGCAAACAGGTGGAAGCAACTGAGACTTGTGATTGACCGTAGTGGATTGTTCAGTTTGCCCAAATTTTCACCTGCATTTTGCACCTTTTTCAATCAGGTGTTAGAGCCCCAACCAGGTACTACTAGTAACTGAATTGACAAATTCGATTTTACATGCATTCAGAAGAGCTTATAAAGAGCATGTGAAAATAATTTATAAAATAATATTCATGACTTATTTCTGTGCATAACTTATCATAATAAAGCTAATTTTAGATTATATCAATAAATTTCAAGATCAAATTTATGATATAAATTCCTTATACAGTAAAGACTTATTAAACAAGTACTTAACTCATTACCAGACGAAAAAGTTTGGAAAATTTGAATGAGTTCATTCCATATTTTTCTTTTGTATTTGTACATATTTTGCAGCATTTGTATGGTTAAAATGTGAGGGAAAGGTGGAAGACTGCGAAAGCTTCCTACGAGCACACAACATCTTAACGAGAAGTGGAACGCACTTTGGAGTTAGCCCAAAATATGTAAGAATTAGCCTGTTGGATACTGACGAAAATTTTAACCAGCTTCTAGATAGACTCTCCGTCATACAGTCGCTATAGTGTGAGTTTGCTGCTCATAATATATGTATAATTAAAAGTGTTAATTTTTAGTATTCTGGAAACTGAAACGAAACAATACAATTTTGCTCATCCATGTATAAGATGTGGATTGAAACACCCTGCCTCTGTATAACAGTATAACACTAACACATTTAGTTTGTCCATACGTGAAATTAGTATTTTTTGTCTTCTATTTTTTTTATATAATTTTTTACTTTATTTTAGTTCTTTAACTTTATTTTATTTAAGTTTAGCCTTTTAATTTTTTTTTTAATTCTTTAACTTTTAAATATTAATTAAATAGATTTTTTTCATGAATTTTATTTAACTTTGTTAATTATTATATCCACCCTTTTAAGTTCATTTATTAAACAGATAAAGATCAAGAAAAGTATAAAAAGGTCAAGAATATGTGCAAAAATTTGTCTCAAAACTCCTATGCGGGTTTATTTTTCTGCTAAGATTCATAAAATAGATCTTTTGATTTTTCTCATCCTAGTTATCGAACCTTTAACATAGACTTCATGGTCATGGCAAAGATTTTGAACCAAATGCCACAATCAAACTGAAGATTTTTCATAAGTTTGTTCTTTCTTATTATACGTGATAGGAAATTAACAAATATAAAATTAATTTTTTCTTTGATTTTGGTTTCCAACAAAATAAAAAATTTTAAATAGGAAACAATTAGTTGGACTATAAGATAGTTGGAACAAGAAGTGTCTATTAATAAAATGAAGGAAATAAAGTAATAATTTCCTTTTCTATTTCCTATAACTCACCGATCAAACAAAAAAAAAAAATTAATGTTTTTATATTTATTTTCCAAATAAAACATGACAGATATAAACTTATATATTTTTTCTATAGGGAAGCCTCGCATGCTAAGCCTACGATTAATCCTCAAATCAAGCGTCACAAACTATATATTGTAATCAATAAAATAATAATGATGATGTTCAATTTAATGAGAGTAAGGAGGAAATAGAATCAGGACATGACGATGGATTCAACATTCCAGTTTGTCAACAATTGAAACATTAAAGAATGGTAAAACTATATTGGAGAGGAGAAAATTAGTGCCTTCAAGGAGATCTTATGGATCACTATTGAAACATAAAATACTATTTAAAAGAAGTAATAGGTTGAAACATTAAAAAAATGTGACTGAACATCCCACTAATGTGGTCTAAGAATGGTGATTATGATTCTTGCAATAGAAATAAACATATGAAAGGCTTAAACAAGAAAAAAATGTGTAAAGAATTTTAATGGAAATTGGGGTTACAATCCTCCTTACTTTAAGAGTTTGAGACTATTCTGGAGCATTTAGTGTTGAATAGAAGAGAAGATTCAAAAAGAATGATGTAGTCAAGATGAGAGTTAAGGATGAGAATGGGTTAGATTAGGCTAGGCCTAATATTAAATGGGCTTGACCTGCTACACAAAACTAAAGTATAAACCTAGGCCTACTAGCTACTACACAAACTAGAGCCTAAACCTAAGTCCAATAGCCTATTTAACATTAAAGCCTTTAAATAACAATAATAATTTAAATTTAATAGGTCATGAAAGGCCTACTATTAATAAAATAAAAAATATATGATAAATAATTATATTTAAATATTATATTTAGCCAAAAAAAATATACATAAATGACTTTGCAGATATCATATCTTAACATGACCATATTTAATAACTCTACAAAATTTTATATCTCAAATAATCCAAAAGGTAACAAAAGGTACATGTCTATATTCTAAAAACTCCTCACTTCTTCACGAATGCAACTGCACAAAATAATGAATATCAAATAATAATTTTTAATGAGACACCTTTGAACATATGACAACAACAATGAATACGAAAGGAGGGAAAGTGGCACAGTGGCAGCTTTTGTTTTTGGTTCATGCCATCATGACTTTAAAAAATTATATTAGGGCTAAGAGGTTGAGAAGTATTTGAATTAAAAATACTAGAATAGAAATTAAGAAAGAATGAATTCTAATAATGAATTGAAATATTTTAGAAATAAGACAAAATTTTAATTGATAGATTTATTTTTTTTACGATAAGTTTTAATTTTGGTATTTTAATAATATAATTATAATTATTATATTATTATTTTGTAAATATTAAATTATGTTATATATATTAATATGTATAAAATTTTAATTGGTAATTTTTTTATGGTAAGTTTTAATTAGTACTCTAATAGTATAATTATAATTATTATAATATATAAATAAATAAATAAATATCATACAATAATATAATCATTTAATTGGACTGGTCCAATAGACTTAAAAGATTTGTTTTAAAGCTTATGTCTGATCTCTTTATTTAAATAGGTCTTTTAAAAAGTCTAAGTTTGATCTTTTTAATAAACAAGTCAAGTTAAGACATGCCTTAAATAGGCTGGGCTATAGACCCTCAACAGGTGGCTTGACCTATTCTTATTCCTAGTGAGGGTAAAGTGCATGCACAAATGTAAATTTTAGCATTTGTAAGTAAAGTTAAGATATGCTAAAGATATAGGCTAAAGACGTTGCATGCTAAGTATAATTATGACAAAGTATTTCATAATAAAAATGTAACCTTGGAATTGGTAGCCAAGATAGTAGTGAACAAATTCAAGACAAATAATAATTTTAAATTGAGAAAAAATAATATAAGATATTAGATCCATATATTTTGTTAGAATCAGAGTGGGAGAACTTAGAGAGCTAGGCAAGTTGCTAAGGAACTAGTTTAAAAAGATTCAACAAAGCAATATTTCTTAATTGTGGTATTATAATGTAAAGTTAAAACTTAAAGTTTAAAAAATACTTGCAAATTACAATTAGAAAGATTTATCCTTTTTCTACAATCAAGATTTGGATATTCATCAATGCTTGCAAGCTATTCATTAGAGTTAATGGTTGTCACCTTAAAACTAAGCATGGAGGTCAATTGTCAATAGTTATGGGCAAAGTTTTTAATAATCAATACTGATTAATATTTTTCACTGGCTTATATAGTAGCGGAAACTAAGACTAAAGAAAGCTGAAAAAAATTTCTTACATTCTTCTTGGAAGACATTGGAGGCATTACAACCCATAATTAAGTTTTCATATCAATGAACAAAAGATGTTCTCTCTCTCTTTCTACTTATATAGATGTGAACTTGTTATTATTTTATAAAATATAAATAAATATTATTGTTTTTTCTTGTTGTTTTAAGGACTAACTACAAAATTTGAGAAAATGTTGGAAGGAGTAGAGTATAAGTTCTACATAAGTCACTTACATAATAACTTTAAGAAAAAATTTTGAAGATTAGAACAGGAGAGGAGCAACAAAGACAACTTAGAATGAAGAATGAGAGGAAAATATGGATAATATTAAGGAGATAAAGGACAAAACATATGAATGATCTTTCTACAATTCTTACAAAATCTTAATGAGGACACATTTTTTTTTATTACCTAAGATGTGATGCCTTGATTAACAATTTATGTGAGTCCTTTAATAGTATCATATTAGTAGCAAGGGATAATCTGTTTATCACATTGCTTAATTGGATAATAACATACTTAACAAGTATGTTTGCCTCTTTTATAGATAAATTGTCAAAATATATTAGTAATTTAATGCCTAAGTTAAGAAAAAGGTTGTTTATAGATAAATTTGTAATAGACTTAGATCAACACTTGTGTATATGTAATTTTTGGAACTTGGTTGGCATCCCATGTAAGCGTGTAGTGGCCCCTATATCCTACAAGGGGAGAATTTTTAGAATTATGTCTATAATTATTACAAAAAAGAGACATACGAGGTATGCTATGGACAAGTCATATCTCCGATCAATAAAAAAAATAAATGGTCCAAAATTAATTTTTAAGAAATTTTTGCCTCTAAAATTAACGAGGAGAGAGATAATTAATGATCTTATTAATTGACGGGGGCACACTCATTCAATAAATGTGGGAGGTGTCGCATATATAGGCATAATACAAGAACTATATGAACCCTTAGTTGATCCAAATTATGGAGTTTCAAAATTATAAAATGAAAATGCACAAATAATGTCTAATGCTCCACATACTATCTCTATTACTCAATAGATAACCCTTCAAGCTAGAGCATATAAATCATATGCACCAAACTTGTTGTATATATAACTAATTTAAGGACCTCTTAAAAACTTTATATAGATACTTATCAGTTGATCATGAGAATTTACGAACATAGTAGTGATGTCTTCAAATAAAATCTTCTCTCTAATAAAGTGACAATCTTTCTCAATATGTATAATCTTACATGAAAATTTGGATTTAATGCAATATGTAAAGCTTCTTGTCGCAAATAAGTTTCATTTGTCTAACTTTCCTAAATCTTAATTCTTTGAGTAGTTGTTGTAATTCACATTGAATTGGCCAAACTCAGAAGGAAACTAGTTCATGATGAACTGTACTGGAAAACTTCACTTACTTCTATGCTCATTAGTTACAACTTTGCTGCTTGGTTGATCATTCCAATCACATGATCATAGATAGGTTGTGACCAATCAAACTTCTTAATAGTCAATTTACTCAATAGGGTGCCTAAGACGAGCTTATCAGTGATGTCTGACTATGTCTACTTTTTTATCTTTGTCATAAATGTCCTTGAATTGTCAATCTTTGGCATTGATGACTTTACATTTTTAGACATAGTCATCCTTAGCAAACTCAAGCTCAACCTACTATACATTTTTCAAGCCTCATAAAGAGTATTTTCATCATCTGTATGATCTCAGTAATGGCTGCAAGTTTCTCTTCCATTGTAATCGTTAGGTCCAAATCCATAATACCTAGTATGAATAACCTTAATGGATTCAAGCAACTACCAATATCAATTATGCATTTAAGTTCACCTTTGGGCAGTACCTAAACATACTTTAATAGCTGATCAGTTATACTCAAGGCAATATGCATGTTATTTTTGGATATACAAACACATTATCAACTGTCTATATA